TATGAAAATACAAATTATAATAAGAGAAATTTCCACTTATGAAACTGGTAAGGATAAAAAAACATTAAAATGCTCAGTGTTGGTAACAGTATAGGAAACTAGCATTTACTTACTCACCTGGTAAGATTATAGTTTGGGAGAAAGTTTTTAAAACAGAATAAGATGATAAGTAGACCTGAAAGGTATGCATGCCCTTTGATCTACGAGTTCAATTCGTAAGAATTTATACTAAGAAAATAATTAAGGATTTGGAAAAGGACAGTAGGAATGTTTATCCAAGCACTATTACTCATTGCAAGAAGTTGGGAATAGTTGACATGCCTAAAGGTATGTATTAATCAAATTGCATATATCCCCAAAGGGAATATATTATAGCTATTTATATTTTGGAGGATGTTTGTATAATATTAAAAATTATAAAAGAATAACGACATCCTATTTGTAAAAAGAAAGTCTGTTCATAGAAGAAATGTTGAAGGCTGTTAAGAATTGGCTGTTCTAGATGGGTGGATTATGTACGTATTTAATGTTTTCTTTTGCTTGTCATTACTTGCTAAGTTTTCAATAATGAACATGCATTGCTGTCATCATTTATTTATTTATTTATTTTTGAGACAGAGTTTCACTGTTGTTGCCCAGGCTGGAGTGCAATGGCACGATCTCTGCTCACTGCAACCTCTGCCTCCTGGGTTCAAGCGATTCTCATGCCTCATCCCTCATATTCTATAATATACATTAGGTTTTGCTTGGGTAACATGCTGTGCAATCTGACTGAGGTAGGAGGAGGAATTCTCCTGGTTTGCTATGGCAATATAGAGTTTTTTTTTTTTTTTAAGCCTTAGATATTATTTAGTCAAGCCCTCTTCATTTTACAATATGAGGAACCTGGGTCAGGCATGATGGCACACACCTGTAATCCCAGCACTTTTAGAGGTTGAGATGGGAGGATCATTTGTGGCCAGGAATTCTAGACCAGCTTTGGCAACATAGTAAGATCCTATCTCTACAATTTTTTTAAATTAGCTGGGCATGGTGGTGAGCACCTGTAGTCTCAGCTACTCAGGAGGCTTGAGGCAGGGAGGATTGTTTGAAACTAGAGTTTGAGACTGCAGTGAGCCATGATCATGCCTCACTGCACTTCAGCCTGGATAGCAGTGATACCTTGTCTCTAAAATACATACTATGTAACATACATACATACATACATCCATAATGTAACTTGAAAGAGGTCCAAGGGAGTGAGTGATTTCTTTAAGGCCGCAAAGTGAATTGAACAGCAACTATAATCCAAACTCCAGATTCTCAGCCCACTTATTCCCAAGAAATTGGCTGAACACCCCCATCAATGATCCTGGCTGCCCAGCTGGCCTTGGGAAGCGGGTATAGCAGCTCTGACAACAAGAAAACCCAAAGGAAACTATAAGTCAGTTAGGCAAAAGCCTAGTCACTCCATAACACTAAAATGAACTCCCAAGTGTCAGAGGAAACAGGAAAAACAGGAAAACACAGGGATCCTCCGTGTTGTCCAATATGAACTCTTTTGGAAGATACTGATTTTGAAACAGCCGATTCTGTGATAAAGCACAGAAGCCCTGGGTTAAGGACTACTGTATATAATGATTAGCTGTGAGATATGCCCTTATATAACAAAATAGTTAATGTATTTATGGTAGCTTCTAACAAGGTAATAATTTTTTGGCTATTAGTTTATTTATTTTCTTCCATGCATAAACAAAGAATCTAATACGACATAGCAACAGCTCTCAAAATGTAGTCCACAAACCTTAAAGGTAGAGGTGTGGGGAGGGGTTCCTGACACCCTTTCAAGGAGTCTGTGAGGTTAAAAATCTTTTGTAACAATACTAAGACATTATTTCTCTTTTTTACTTTGTGAACATTTGCACTGATGGTGAAAAGCAATGGTGGATAACATTGTTGGTACTTCAGGACAAATTGAGTCCACAGCACTAAACTGTACTAGTAGCTGTTATTTTTCATTGCTATGCACTCAGGCTAAAAATAATGTCAATTTCATTTTAGAATATCCTTAATGAAATGGTAAAAAGCATGAATTTGTATTAAATCTCTACCCTTGAGTTACATGTGACCAAGTACACACAAAGCATTTCTGCTGTGTACCTGAGTATAAGGGTTGTCCTGCGGATTTGGTTGCCCAAATCAAAAGCACTTTTGCAATTGGTTGAACTGTGAGCTGAAATAGCTTTTTTTCATGGAGCACCATTTTTACCAGAAAAAAAACTACTGACAGACAAACCAGGGTTATTCAGACTTAAGCATGTGGCAGAAATTCTGTCAAAAATGTAACAAAGTGAGACTGTCACTTCAAGTAAAACAACTGACAGTTTGTGTTGCCAATGATACAATTCTAGCTTTCAAGTGAAAACTAGCATTTTGGAAAATCCTATCTGCCACTGTGAGCTTGACAGCTTCCCAATACTTGAAGACTTTTCTGATGAAATGGGAAGACATTAAGGAAAGTGATTGTTTGATACTGTATAATGAAATATGTCAACATTAGGAAGAACTGTATAACACAGTGAACCACTAAAATTTCCGAAGGACTTATGCTTAATGTTTAAAATATCAGGCATCGATCCAACATCCATTCAAAGTGTAAGGTACACCAATGGATATTAATGTAACAGTGTAAAAAAAGTACATTGATATAGTTTCAGATTCCACTTTGTAACTAACCTTTAAAAAGCTACCATTTGTCAAACTTTGATGTGATATCAAAGAATATCCATGATTATCTTTAAAAAGCTATTAAAATATTCTTCTTTCCAACTTCATATGACTGTGAGGTGGGATTTTCTTCATCTTAAACCAAAATGAAACAGTGCAGCAGCTTAAATGCAGAGGCAGACATAAGAATCCAGTTACCTTCTATTATGTCACACATTGGTTTTGCAAAAATGCAAAACAATGCCACTCCTAGGATAACTGTTACCAAACCAGGAAATAAGTGCTGATGATGATGTGGAGAAATTGGAATCCTTGTGTACTGCCAATGGGAATGTAAAAATGGCACAGCCACTGAAGAAAAACAGTATGGTTTCAAAAACTAAACATAGTACTATCCTATGACTCAGCAATTTTCACTTCTAGGTACATACGGTATCCCAAAGAATTAAAAGCAGGGATTCAAACAGACATGTGCACATTAACGATCATAGTAGTAGTATTCACAGTAGCCAAAAGGTGGAAGCAACCCAAATGTCCAGACAAATGGATAAACAAAATGTGATATATACATACAATGAAATATTATTCAGTTTTAAAAAGGAAATCCTGACACATGCTTCAATATGAATAAACCTAAAAAACACTATACTAAATAAACCAGACTCAAAAGGACAAGTATTGTATAATTCCACTTATATAAGGGACCTGAAATAGTCAAATTCATAAAGAAAAAATAATGGTTAACCAGGGCTTTGGGGAGGAAGTAATGGGCAGTTATTATGTAATAGGTACAGGATTTCAGTTTGGGATGATGACAAAGTTCTGGAGATGGACAGTGGTGTTGGCTGTACCTCTCAATTGCACACTTTAAATTGTACCCTTAAAAATTATTAAAATGGTAAATTTTGTTATATCTTACCACAATTTTAAAAACAAAACCCCACAATGTTACTCTTCTCACTGATGGGGGGGGGTGGTTTGGAAAATAGTTATTTTTCATTAAAATCATTATTTAGGCACGTAGCCTATTTATTACTGTTTTGTAAATTAACAAATACTTAAAATTTTTCCAGCTTTAATGTCTAATATGGTAAATATAAACATATATACCATACAAACAGAAGCTCTTAGGTCCACGGTAATTTTTGAAAGGTAAAGGGGCCCTGAGAATAAAAAGTTTGAGAATTGCTCTTATATGAAGATTTATTTCCTCTTCTCACACCTGCATTATGTGAAGATCTTCATTTCTTGGTATAACTTCATTTGACAGTTATATCGATTGCAGCCTGGAGACCAGCAAAAAACGACAGGCTGAAATATCACAGATCATCACATTAACTCTTTGTAATTACCACTGTCGCCTGCCTGCTCCCTAACTCTACGGACTGAGCAACAAAAAGCTCCATCCATTCAGAGGAGTGGCAATGTGCAAAAGGGAACTGTAGAAAGCTTAAATGCTGACATGTTACAAAGTAGTTTTGTTGATAGCTAGCAAGAAGCACACATTTTCTTTTTTCTGTTGAATCTTCATTTGGATTTACAGTCCTGGGCAGATTTGGAAACGGGGATGGTGGCGGCATTGTTTCCGAAAACCAGCGCATTCGTGCAAAGAATCTAATTCCCTCACCATCTTGCTACTGGTCTGTTGCAGTGGGGTGTGGTTAGAGGGCTAGGAAGCAATCCAAAACAGCAGCTCAGGCTGCCCAAGGCCGTGTACAAGCGATCATTTTCTCCATTTTGGGCCAGGTCAATTTGCACCAGCAAGAGGCAGAATGTTTGTTTCATGGGGAGGAGGAAAATAAAAAAGGAAGTTAGAGAGCATGGACGGAAATAAGCAACACCACCAAAGAGGTTTCATCTCAGGTGGATGTTAAACGATTGGAACGCTAATAATGGGCGCAAGGAGCAAACAAAATTGTTCTGAGTCCACAGCTGCGGCACTTTTAATGACAGGTGTGCAGTTCTGCATTGGGGTTGAAAGTGAAATGATTTTCTTATCCAAACTATTTGCATTCATTTTGGGCCGCGTCTGTGACCAGCCTCGCTGACTGCGGCTGAGGCAGTCCCAAACAAAGGGTAATGGACGTCCTCCCGAGGGAGCGGAGGCGGGAAAGGTGGCCCCAGGTGGCCGCGCCAGGTGTGCCCAGGGGTCCACTTTGCAAGCCGCGGGGAGGGTGCGTCCCAGGAGCGTAGGAGAGGCGCGGTCGGGAAGGGTTGGGTCCGGGCTCCAGGCACCACACGGCGAAAGACCCCGCCCTGCCCACGGCCAAGGTTAACCCGCGCGCTGGAGGTACCTGCGGAGGCTTCGCACAGCCAAAAGGCACCGGGCGATCATGGGAGCGCTGAGAGGCTGGCGGCGGTGGGCGCGTGGTCCTTCAGCGTGGCGCGACAAGGCGTGCGGCAGCGCCTGGGCGCCCGGGAGTCGCGAGCCGGCCTAGCCGCAGAGGCCACAGTGGCTGCCGGGCCAGCGCCCTCCCACGTGCGGCAGCTCCACGCCGGCGCCTACCAGCCCCGCCCCGCGCCGTGCCCCGCCCCAGCCCGCGCGTCCGGCCCCGCCCCAGGGGCGGTGCTGGCCAGACCCGGCCGCTGGAGCTAGAGCACAGCCGGGTGGGCTCTGGGGTTGGCGCCCTGGGGGCCGGGGAGGTTTGCGCCGCCGCGCCCAGTGCTGCGATCCCGAGCCAGGCTTCAGCCCCGAGGACTAGGGGTCGGGCGGGCCGGCCTACGGAACCCCGCGGGCCAGCAGCCGTCGTCTCGCGTCCTCCTGCTTGGTAAGGGGGCTTCTGTCTGGCGAGGGTGCGCCTCCCTCCGCCCCGGACCGAGGCCCGCACTGGCACTCGCTGCACACCGGGCAGGGCCGAGGCAAGGCCGGGTGCCGGAGGGAGGACGGGAGGGAGGGGGAGCTCGATGCGCTCTGGGGAGAGGAAGGGGGAGAAGCCTGGACGAGGCTGGGCATCTCTTTCCCTCTTTGCACCCCCTTTTCCCCCCTTTCTGTTTTTACCTTCTGCCCTGGGGCCTTATTTATTGCTTGTGACCCCGTGGCCTAGAGGCTGACATCGCCTTTAAAATAACTACACAAATAATAAACATTATAGCGGCGGGTACCACACCCTGGCTTTGAATTAGGGAACCTGGGGAACAGATGGATGATGCGATTTAGTGGAAATCAGCCATGAATGCCGGCTGGCCCTGCGCCACTGTTTGGATGCGATAGTATTCCATGTGAATGAACATGACCGGGAGCTTCCAGCTTGTCCACGAGAGCACAGCCTCTGCAGGGAGCGCCGGTCGACTTGTAGTATCCATCGACTTGGGCAGCGATTTCCTGACATGTCTGCTGATTAAATAGAAATGCCATTTTTATTAAGAACGACACTCACCAGTTGAACAACCTTTCGCGAATGTGTTTCCTCATCAAATAACTCTCAACCTACAAAAAGTAGGTAGTGTACATTATTAATACTTTTTTTAGGTCCCATGAAATAGAGGAAGATGCTTGGTTATAGATCAGCTTTTAGTCAGCAGTATGAAAGCCTCTCAACTTAGTACTGAGGCCTTTAGGGGATTTCGGTATGGTGAGATACTCAGTGACAGTCTAAGCTTATGCTGTACTTGTTTTGAAGACATTTTTACTTGTTCCAAGATTTAACATACTCTTATACCACTGGGTATTAATGAAAATATGTAATAAATTACCTTCACAATACTTTGTGCTCTCCTGACTCTTAAAAAAAAAAAAAAAAGATGAAAGGTCATACAGTTTTGTGTTTTGTTTTTACCTTTAATACAGTTTATAACCCGTATCATCTTTGTAATTTATGACTTTTCTGATTGATTCTTCAGAATAACTTAGTTCAGTGTTTTCATTTTTCTTATCAAGGAAAAGTGTTTAAGCTTCTAAAATGTCATCTATCAAGCACCTGGTTTATGCGGTTATTCGTTTCTTACGGGAACAAAGTCAGATGGACACTTACACCTCCGACGAACAAGAAAGTTTGGAAGGTATGCATCTGCTCTTTGTGTTCATTTATATCATAATTATAAACGAGGACTAAAATAGCTGTAAGCCCAGCTTGATGATCTATTGTAACAAAAATCAGAATTTTCTTTGATCTTTCAAGGAGAGGCCTGATTATAAGGTTATCGTATTTCCATTTTCTGAAGCTTGTTTTGTTTAACATCAAATTAAGAGGACTATTGTTTATTTATTGAACAAATACTATATGTAGAAAGTATGCTGTTCATATTATAGGCAATGTTTTCTTCACAGCAACTGTTATGTTAGTATTATCCCCATTTAACAAGTGAGAAAATGAAACCAGGGCCAGACTTGGTAGCTCATGCCTGTAATCCCAGCACTTTGGGAGGCTGAGGCTGGTGGATCATTTGAGGTCAGGAGTTCGAGACCAGGCTGGGCAACATGGCAAAACCCTGTCTCTACTAAAAATACAAAAAGTAGCCAGGTGTGGTGGCACTTGCCTGTAGTCCCAGCTACTCGGGAGGCTGAGACAGGAGAATGGCTTGAACCCAGAAGGCGGAGGCTGCAGTAAGCTGAGATCCCATCACTGCACTCCAGCCTGGGCCATGAGGGAGATCCTGTCTCAAAAAAAAAAACAAAAGAAAATGAAACCAAATAGCATAACCAGATAACACAGCTGATATGTGATAAAGCCTGGTTAATACTCAGAAGATCTTGTTGTCTGCATTTCCTAATAGGAAAGCATCCAGTTTAGAAATAATATATAAAAATACCTGAGTCATTTTAATAGCACTATGTAAAAGTCTAATAATTATACCACTCGTAAGATCTGACCAGTGCCTAATTTCGAACTTGAAATGAAAGCATTTCACCTGTGTTTTACATTAACTTTAATATTGGCTTCAGTAATCTGTAAAGTTGAACAGGACGTAGGTGATGGCATCGTGTGTTTCCTCGACACCATCTTTGTTCTTCATGTTTATGTGTTACAAAATTTAAATTCAGTACAACCATAACAAGGTAGAATTTGGAAGATGGGCTTGTGGAGGTTCAGTGAATCTGGTGTCCCTGTGGCCTAAAATCTTTTATTTATTTATTTATTTTTTGAGACAGGGTCTGTCTGGCTCTGTCACCCAGGCTGGAGTGTAGTGGCACGATCTCAGCTCACTGCAACCTCCACCTCCTGGGCTCAAATGATCCTCCCACCTCAGTCTCCCAAGTAGCTGGGACTTCAGGAGTACACTACCATGCCTGGCTAAGTTTTTTATTTTTTTTTGTAGAGACAGGGTTTCGCCATGTTGCCCAGGCTGGTCTCAACCTCCTGGGCTCAAGTGATCCACTCGCCTTGGCCTCCCAAAGTACTGGGATTACAGGCATGAGCCAGCCCTCCCAGCCCTAAAGTCTTAATTATTGCAGTAAGAGTGCATTTGGAAGAACTTAATAAATAACAGTATAGTTTAAATTTCCCATCTTAAAACTGCTTCTGTATTTTCAACAAGCACTTCCCTGTGAATATGCTTTTAGGAGGTGGAGATGAAAATTGGGCATTTGCTCTAAATCTGCTTGCAGTCTGGTTAGATGATGTCTTTCCAGGTGGCAGTGAGAGGAGCAGGTGATGCACAGTTGGAGAACATTGCCATCAGTCCATTTAATATTAAGGTCTTTTTGTTCTTGATGATTAGACTATGTGAAGATAAAGTTGATTGGTTATCTAAGGAGAATGTTAGTTATGATTGCTCTGTAGCAAACAGATAAATGCAGTCATTTAAGAAAAGATGTTTCTTTTCTAATCAAAGGCAGCATAAAAGTTTTAAGGGCCAGAAAGAAAATTGAGGGTTTTTTTTTTTTTTTTTAAACCAAGATGTTACGTCCTATTTTTAGGATGGTATTCAGCCAAAAATATGTGCCTTCAGCTGTTTGTTATATATGGCAGTCAGAAAGGGTGCCAATTGTTTTTGACTGACCCCTATTTTTGACTCTGTGAGTCTAATTTAATTGAACATGAAATCATGTGGAGGTGTCTGCCCACCTTCTAGACATTTTTAAAAGCCCTGGGAAAGAAGCCTCAGTTCTGATACCAGCTTTACCACTACTGTGAAGCTGATGTATCATCAGCTTTGTCTTGCCATCAGATTATGTCACCCACTCCTCAATTATTGTCATCTACTGACATTTGCTTCGTTCCTTGACTAATTGTGGTTCCTGTTCACTGTCACTCTCTCTAGCACTACTCCTATTTAGTTCTTGGCAATTGCAATATACTGATAGATGATTATTTTAGTTCCCTGGCTCTCAGTTCTTGACCTCGTCCAGTGATCTCAAATACTTGATCATATTCTAGATCAGTGGTTCTCAACTCGGGGGTGATTTTGCAGTATCTGGATACATTCTGATTGTCACAACTGGGTGAGGGGGGTGGCTGGTATTACTGGCATCTAGTGAGTAGGTAGAGGCCATGGATGCTGCTAATGCACAGGACAGCCCTTCACAAGAAGAAATTACGTGATCCAAAAGGTCAGTATGTAGAGATTGAGAAAGCCTTCCCTAGACTTAATCATTACCAGAATTGCATTCCTCCCCTAATCTCTGTCCCAAACATTTCACTTCCTGACCACTATTGCCTGTCCTTCCAAGCTTACTCCCTCTAGAATCCCTACTCTAGCTATTCTTTGACCCAACCAATACCTCCAGTCTGTTCATCCCTCACCTTTTCCCACACCTTGTTACTCATCTTAAATTCCATAGTTGATAATTACAATTATTCCCTCGTAACTCTTTCCCTTTCTTGCAAAGCCCAACTTTGTTTAAATCCAGCTCTCCACCTACTCTGTGCCCACCTACTCACACCCACTCATGTATATAGATGGAGCAAAACACACAACTTTGCTGACTAGTCCCACTTGAAATTCATGGCTCTGAACTTCAAGCAGCCTTTAATGCTTTAATGCTGTCAGGCAATCACGCCCTCTGTTCCAAGTTCATTCGTACATTTATTTTCCTAGATGACCATTTTAACACTTTCTCATATCTTCTGAAACCCTCAAACCTCTTTCACTGTCCTCACTTTTAGTTGGTTACTTTGCTTTCTACTCCACCAAGAAAACTGAAATAATAAGAAAATAGCTGGGTACGACAGCACTCACATACTCGGCCTGCCTGCCTGTTTGCCTAGCTATTACCATAGGTGGACTATTCGCGCCTAAATGGAACCCCTCTACTGGTATACTAGATCCCATCCTCTCTCACCTACTCCAGGATATCACTCTAGTTATTTTTTTTTATCTTATAAAATTTTCATACTCTACTGGATCATTTCCATCATAATATAAACTTACCATTATTCTCCCTTCTTCAAAAAAGCAAAAATAAACAGCAAATAATTATTTTACCATACTACCCCTAACCCATTACTGCTTAATTGTATGTCTCCCTTTGCCGCAAAACCATTTGAAAGAATTGTCTATGCTTGCTTTCTCCAAACCCTCTCCTTCTATTCTTCTTAAACGCATTCTGATTAAGCCTTTGCCTCTCTCTCTCAATCTATACCACTCTCATCAAGGTCATTAGTGATTTCTGTGTTGTTTAATTTAATGGTCAGTTCTCAGCTTTCATCTGAGTTATTAGCTGTTATTGATAATGTTGATGGTCATTTCCTCACTGCCCCCAACCCCACCCCCAGTATATTTTATTTAGTTTCCAGGATACCTCATGCTTTCTTGGCTTTCTTATCTCATTGTTTGCTTCTTTTCTGTCCCCTTTGCTGGTTCCTCTTCTTTTCCCTGACCTGGCGTACCCAGAGTCCGCTGCTTAATCCTCTTGTCTTCATTATCTATACCCATTTCTTTGGTGATATCATTCAGCTTCTTAGCCTTAAATACCCCGTATCTATATGCTATTTCCCAAATTTATGCCCTCAGCTCAGACCTTTCTCCTGAAGGTCTTCTTATATATCCAAGTACCAACTAGATATCTCCACTTGCATGTCTAATAGGCATCCCAAATTTAAATTGCCAAAACCGAACTTCTGATTCCCCCACCCAAAATCTGTTCTATGTGCAATTTCCCTATCTCTGTTTATGGCAGCTTCATCTTTTCTGTTGCTCAGGCCAGAAACTTGGGTATCATTCTGGACTCTTCTCTTTCTCAAATACTCTGTAACTAATCATTCAATAAATCCTGTCAGCTACACTTTCAAAATATGTCTAGAGTTTGACATTTCTTATCATCTCCACTGATATCACCTCTGGATAGAACTAACTATTTCTTGGCTGTTTTAGTGTGGCAGCCTCTAACTGGTGTCTCTGCTTCTCTTCTTGCCCCTCCATTGGCTGTTGCAAACACAGGCATCAGGGATCTTTACGAACAGAGTATGTCAGTTTCTATGATTTATCTACTCAAAACGTGACTTAAGTAACATGACTTCTCATGTTACTTAGTCATTGTTTAAAGGATCTTTATAATTTGACTTCTGTGACATATTTTTCACCTCCTCCTCCCGTTTCTCATTTGGCTTCAGCCGTATTAGCTTTCTCTTTATAAATGTACCATATCCTCTTGCCTATGGGCTTTTGATCTGGCTGGTTCCTCTGCCTGGAATGGTCTTCACAGATAATGGTAACACTCCCATCTCCTTCAAGTCTTTTTCAAATCTCTTTTCTCAGTAAGGCCTACTCTGAACTCTCTGTTAAGCCTTCAGCTGTGGGCCAGGTGTGGTGGCTCACACCTGTAACCCCAGCACTTTGAGAGGCCAAGGTGGGCAGATCACCTGAGGTCGGGAGTTTGAGACCAGCCTGGCTAACATGGTGAAACTCCATCTCTACTGAAAATACAAAAATTAGCCAGGCGTGGTGGCACACGTCTGTAATCCCAGCTACTCAGGAGGCTGAGGCAGGAGAATAGCTTGAACCCGGGAGGCACAAGTTACAGTGAGGCAAGATTGCGCCACTGCACTCCAGCCTGGGCAACAGAGCGAGACTCTGTCTCAAAAAAACAAACAACAGCAACAAAACCCTGCAGCTGCTTTTCTGCTCAACTGCCCACACTTTCCATCTTCCTTACCCTTTACTACCTGTTTATTGTTTATGGTCCACCTCTCCATCCCTTACTAGGAAGTAAACCCCAAGAGGTTAGAGGTCTTTTCTGTTTTATTCACTGATATGTTGAAAGTGTCTAGAAAAATGCTTGACACATGATAGGTGCTTAATAAATATTTGTTGAATTGAATCCAATGGTCTTGGGCATTTGCTTGGTTGGTTTGGATCTTAGTTTCTAAGCCTATTTGGTAGACATACTTGCCTCCTTGCAGCCAATATATTTGTGAAGAGAATCTGAATCAGTGAATGGCAGGTACATAGCATGTGAAAACTTTTGAATTAAGTGTTATACAGATGGGCTGTGGTATTACTGAATAGAATTCTTCACTCACCTTTCTCTACCAGTACCAGACTATTTTTGTTTGGTGTTACAGTGGAACAATAAGTATATATAGTATTTCTTTAGATTTTGTGACTTATTCCTGGATGTCTATTATTTTAAATAGGAATAAATAGGAATAGGTTCTTCTAAAAGGAAGATCAAATGTCATAATCTCTGTTTGATAAATGAGAATCTTGAGGTAAATGTAAGTTAAATTGTTGTACCCAGGTTATTTAATTTTTTTGGCCTGGATCAATAAGGATAATGAGACAGTCCTGGGTTCCAAGGCTGTGGTTAGCTTTGTTTACTAAATCATATGCCTTTCTAAATATGTGTTATTGTTGAACACTACACATTTTGGCAACTAGGTTTACTTATCAAAATAGAATTGCATTTAGAAAAAAAAAAAAGGCCACCTCCTTTAGGGATACTTAATTGTATCTAGTATGTACCAGATCTGTGATGTGAGGTTAGTGGCAGCAGAGATAAAGAAGGTGGACTGGACTGCCTTAAGAACATAGGGCATAAAATCCCTCAGAGTTATCACATGGACTTTTCACCTGTCAGTGTTTAGCTCTGAAGTTCCATAATTTAGTGTTTTGCTAAGGGCTTGGTTGGGTACTGTCCATCTTTTACAAGGCTGTAAATTAATTTTTTTGGTGGGGAGGCAGATAAATGCTCTCTTCCACAGATTTGATTGTTTATTTCCTCCAAATTCAAATGTCACTTTCACTGCAAAAAAGGCAGTAGATTAAGTTGATTGAGCGTCTACCTTTGCCAGACCCTGTTAAAGTCGAAGACGAATAAGATGTAGGCCCCGCTAGGGATAAAAGACTTTAAGGAAAACAAGATGTAGACTGTTTAATATGGGAAGACAAACATTTAAGTGCATATAATACAGTGTGATAAGTACAATAATGGAAACGTGTACAAGCCACATGGCAAAGTATAGGAAATGACCAATCTGATCAAGAAGACAAGATGTTTATCAAGAATAAATATATACATATACATTCTTTTTTTTTTTTTTTGAGATGGAGTCTTGCTCTGTTGCCCAGGCTGGAGTGCAACGGCACGATCTCAGCTCACCACAACCTCTGCTGTCCAGGTTCAAGTGATTCTCCTGCCTCAGCCTCCAGAGTAGCTGGGATTACAGGCACCCGCCACCATGCCTGGCTAATTTTTTTTTGTATTTTTAGTAGAGACGGGGTTTCACCATGTTGGTCAGTCTGGTCTTGAGCTCCTGACCTCAGGTAATCCACCCTCCTTGGCCTCCCAAAGTGCTGGGATTAGAGACATGAGTCACTGTGCCTGGCCACATACATTATTATTATTATTACTACTGTTATTATTTTAAATAGCAGTCTTCGTGGCAATGAGAGCCTATTTTCTTGTGGCCCAGTGTTTTACGTGCAAGTACAACTGCTTGATAGGAATAGAAAGGGAGAGAATAGGGATGGGTAAATAGTAGTAGGGCTTGGTAGGAATAGAAAGGGAGGAGAATAGGGATGGGTGAACAGTAGATTATTTTGTATCTAAAAGACCCTTTGACTTTTTATCATTGGTAATTTAGTTTCTTATTAAATCCCTCTTTAAGGAGAATTGTTCTGTGATTACTGAAAGTAATAGTGTTTCTTTTATGACAGAGGTAATTTCCCCAGGACTGCAATTCATACATAATGTATCTTTTAAAAGTTACATACAAATATAAGGGAATCTACTTCACACTGTCTGGAAATACACTGGGCGTTTTGGGTACATTCTCATCTCATTGAGCCAGGAGTGAATTCCTTTCCAAAGGTGAGCACTATCAGGATGAGAATCTGCTTCCCTTCCCCTCAAAGGGTAATTGTAGAGAGGACAGGATATATGCTATCCGCCATTAACTACCTGCTCCCATTTTCTCGAATCCCAAGTTTTCTCTCTAATTCATTCTCAATGTTCCTGCCAGACTTTTAGTTCTAAACATAATTTAGTTATGTTACTCTCCTTTACTAATTTATTTAATGGCTCTCCATTTGCTCATTTCTTGAAGTCTAAATCTTTTTAAAAATGCCATTTCAGGTGGCTTGTCATCTACACAGACTTCTTTTGTTTTTTGAAGACAGAGTCTCACTCTGTCGCCCAGGCTAGAGTGCAGTGGGGTGATCTCGGCTCACTGCAACCACTGCCTCCTGGGTTCAAGCAATTCCCATGCCTCAGCCTCCCGAGTAGCTGGGATTACAGGGGCATGCAACCACGTCCGACTAATTTTTATGTTTTTCGTGGAGATGGGGTTTCACCATGTTGGCCAGGCTGGTCATGAATTCCTGACCTCGGGTGATCTGCCTTCCTCAGCCTCCCAAAGTGCTGGGATTACAGACGTGAGCCACCGAACCTGGCCTCTAATGACACACTTCAAACATAATCCCTCACCATGTCTTTCCATCCACTGTATACCCTAGCCATACCAACCATTTATTTTGCATACAATAAAAATAGACAAGGCCCCATCACCATTTAACATGCTTTATATTTTGCTTATATATGTTGTCTTCCTTTATTAAAATATAAGCTTTATCATGTAGACAGTGATTTTTTTTCTGTTAGGTTTATTACTGTTTCTCTACCACCTTAGACTAGTGCCTTACACATAGTAGACACTTGGCAAATTTGCATGGATGAATGAATTTTTAAAATCTATCTTCACATGAGTACACCAGGATTAATATTAAGTGCTTCTTCCTATGTGCTGGGGGCTATGTTCTGTTACTATTAGTGTTTTTAATTAATGGAGAATTCGGTTTCTCACATTTTTTTAAAAAAAGATAATATTTTAGGTTTGTAGCGAGAGTACTTTTTTTGATTTGTTTTTGTTTTTGTTTTTTTGAGATGGGGGTCTCAACCCAGGCTGGAGTGTAGTAGTGAGATCTTGGCTCACTGTAACCTCCTCTTCCCAGGCTCAAGCAATCCTCCTACCTCAGCCTCTCGAGTAGCTGGGACCATAGGTGCGCGCCACCATGCCTGGCCAATGTTTTGTATTTTTGGTAAAGATTTCTCCATGTTGCCCAGGCTGGCCTTGAATTCCTGAGTTCAGGCAATCCACTCTCATTGGCCTCCCAAAGTGCTGGGATTACAGGCGTAACCCACCACACTTGGCTAAGTTGTTGGTATTAATGACTTGCTCTTTCTTTCTGGTAGCCTTCAACAAGAATATGATGTAATACGTATATTGAGAAATTATATTCTAGACAACATTTTTCCTTAAGTGAGGAATAAGAAATCAAGTCGTTGCCAGGTGTGGTGGCTCATGCCTATAATCCCAGCACTTTGGGAGGCCGAGGTAGGATGATCACTTGAGCCCAGGAGTTTGAGACCAGCCTGGACAATGTGGCAAGACCCCGCCTCTGCAAAAAGATTTAAACAGTTAGCATGTGGCTCATGCCTATAGTCTCAATTACTAAGGGAGCTGAGGCGGGGGGATCCCTTGAGCCCAGGAAGTCAAGGTAACAGTGAGCTATAATTGTGCTACTGCATTCCAGCCTGGCCACAAAGCGAAAACTTGTCTCTAAAAAAAATTAGGGGCCGGGCGCGGTGGCTCAAGCCTGTAATCCCAGCACTTTGGGAGGCTGAGATGGGCGGATCACGAGGTCAGGAGATCGAGACCATCCTGGCTGACACAGTGAAACCCCGTCTCTACTAAAAAATACAAAAAAACTTGCATTGGGAGTTATACCTGATGTAAATGACGAGTTGATGGGTGCAGCACAGCAACATGGCACAAGTATACATATGTAACAAACCTGCATGTTATGCACATGTACCCTACAACTTAAAGTATAATAATAATAAATAAATTAAAAAAAAAAAACAAAAAAAAAAAAAAAAAACTAGCCGGGCGAGGTGGCGGGCGCCTGTAGTCCCAGCTACTCGGGAGGCTGAGGCAGGAGAATGGCGTGAACCCGGGAGGCGGAGCTTGCAGTGAGCCAAGATCACGCCACTGCACTCCAGCCTGGGCGGCAGAGTGAGACTCTGTCTCAAAAAAAAAAAAAAAAAAAAAAAAAAAAAAAAAAAAATTAGGAAGAAAGAAAGAAAGGAAGGGAAGGTGAAGGGAGAGTGGGAGGGTGAGGAAGGAAGAAGGAAAATCAGTGTGTTTTCCTTCGATAGCTAGTCTATAAACAGAAATTTCTTTACAGCTGAACCAATGTTTTCCTTATGTTCTGTGATCAAAATACTGAATTTCCATACATTGCAGTTCTATCAGAAAAAAAAAAAAACTTGTTTTTTTTTTTTAATTGCTGATTGTTTTTTACTATTAAAATTTATTTTAAGTTGCAATTCAGTGCTTGGAGACAGTTTTTAAGATCAGCCCAGAAGATACACACCTAGCAGTTTCACAGCCTTTGACGGAAATGTTTACCAATTCCTTCTGTAAGGTATGTTGTCATTATTTTTCTCATTATTAACTGATATAAATATGACTACAATTTTATGTTAATAGGTTGTTAATAGTTGAGGGGCCAGGTATATTAACTTCATCCTGTATATAAGGTAAATAGTCTGTCTATATGGATATAATTGGGTGTCTAAAATGTAACTCATTTAATGTGCTTTAGATTTTCATATTGATAACTATTTTCATCTTCTCACCTTTTATATTTAATGATATGTATTAGTGGACTTTTAAGTTCTTTACAGTATCTGAGTATTTTTTTTTCTTGAATGTCATTTCAATGAATCTGAGTATTTTTCGATTTCCAGCATCTGAATTGATGTTTCCCTAAAACGTGGAATACAGCTTTAAAAAGTTTTAATGTCTAGGAAGCAGCCATGTGGAAATAGATTCATCTGGAATCGAATCATCATTTCTGAAGCAGAAGTCATCAAATTTGCCCATTGGTGGGGCTCTTTAAAACAGGAAAAGGTTAAGGGTCACTGGGCAAAACTAAGACTGAAATCCAAGTTTGCTGATCCCTGTTCCTGGGGACTATTTATACATGGTCTTGGGTTTCTGGCCTTTTCAGGACCAGAAACAGACCATGAGACTGAAAAATGCTAAGGTTAGTGAGTTTAGGGCTCCCACATGTGGATTGAACTCTCACTTGTTTCTTTGTTTTTCTTTTCTTCTGAGGCAGGTCTCTCTCTGTCACCCAGCCTGGAGTCTAGTGGTGTGATCATGGCTCATTGCAGCCTCAACCACCTGGCCTCAAGCAGTCCTCAATTCTCACACCTTAGACTCACGAGCAGCTGGGACTACAAGCACACACCACTACACCCAGTTAATTTTTGTTTGTTTGTTTTTGTTTTTTAGTAGCAACGGGGTCTTGCTTTGTTTGTTTTGTTGCCTAGGCTGGTCCTGAACTCCTGAGCTCAAGCCGTCATCCTGCCTTGGCCTCCAAAAAGTGCTCAGATTATAGCCGTGAGCCACCACACCTGGCCCCACATATTTCTTTATGACATTTTGGTGCCTCATGGGCTCCTTTTGTTTTTCTAACTCCATACTTGAGCTTTAGTATATAATGAAGAATTCTGGAGTGAAGCTGAAACATATCTTGCACACTTCAGTGTGGAGTGGACATTGCTGACAATACCATACTTGACTGGATCCTCCAGGCCCTGTTTCTCGAACTTCTTGGAAAGAGGTTGTTAGAGTTGCAGTGAAGATGGCAACTTGGCAGTAAATCATTCCCTTTTATTACACTTGGGAGAAAAATAATGCACTTATACATTAATTCATCAAACAGATGAATTCTTATTGTGTGACAAGATATAAGGAGATAGTAACGTTTATCTCTGTTCCTCATCAGGGAACTCCCTTTTTCTTCCCTTTGGTGATGGTGGGCTGTGGTTCTTTCCTTGATTGGGCCTGTGGCCCCCTCAGGGAACCCTGTTTCAGTGGCTAGATATGGTTATGGATAAAGCAGACCTTCTTTGCTGTCAGATATGTGAGGCCTGTGCTTGAGACAGTTTTAGATTTGCTCACTCTTTAGCTACTGTCACCATTGACTTAATACTGAAGATATTAGAACTTCTTTTTTTTTTTTTTTCTTCTCAGGAAGCTCTAATTGACTTTTACCCTCTGTTTGAATAAAGCTTTTTCTTCATTTTGCTGTATCTCCCTGATTGCATTTAATTATAAGAAGTTTGTTGGTCACTATTGTTAAAATACAGTTTACTGAAACTGGCTGCCGAAAATATCTACAGTTGTGTTATATGTGGTATCGTATTCCTTTTTTTTTTCTTTTTTTTTTTTTTGAGATGGAGTCTTGCTCTGTCGCCCAGGCTGGAGTGCAGTGGCGCAATCTCAGCTCACTGCAACCTCTGCCTCCCAGGTTCAAGCGATTCTCCTGCCCCAGCCTCCTGAGTAGCTGGGACTGCAGGCGTGCGCCACCATGCCTGGCTAATTTTTTTTTTTTTTTTGAGAAGGAGACTTGCCCTGTTGCCCAGGCTAGAATGCAGTGGCACGATCTCAGCTGACTGCAACCTCCGCCTGCCGGGTTCAAGTGATTCTCCTGCCTCAGCCTCCTGAGTAGCTGGGATTACAGGCACCCGCCACTGTGCCCGGCCCTGGCTAATTTTCGTATTTTTAGTAGTGACGGAGTTTCACCATCTTGGCCAGGCTGGTGTCGAACTCCTGACCCAATGATCCGCCTGCCTCGGCCTCCCAAAGTGCTGGGATTATAGGCATTAGCCACCACGCCTGGTCTCATAATTCTTTAGTAGTCTTATTTTACAGCTATGGCTTCATTCCATATATGTTTGTTGACAGAGTATGGCAGAGAAAGTGTAAAATTCACATGAAATAGCATCAAGATTGTTGTAATTAAAGAAATTATTTGTCTCACCAAGTGTACTTGATTGTTATATTGCTCATTTTATCTTTAGGATACTGCTTTTCTATTTTTTTCCCCCAGTTATGTTTATATACCAAGTGGATTCATTCCCTTCATTTAAAGTAGGTAGCTCTTGCTCCCCCATGGTGAACTGCTCAAATTTATGCAATGAATATGATAATTAGTTTTCAAACTATAAAACAGTGGCAATTTTGGCAAATAATTTAGAAGGTTTGGGAAGACAGAAGAGATTATAATCTATTTTTTAATATGCTATTTTTCTGACCCCCAAATCACTTTTTCCCATGTATAAAGTGCCTAGGTTTATTGGAAAATTTAAAATACAAGGAACCCTAAAGCCAAGTACTGTAGGATGGTAATGTGTCTTTGAATTCTGTTTAGATCCTGAGTAACTACAGTCAGTTTTAAGTAGTGACCTCTACTTAGGAAGGTTCTCATTTTGGTTCTGTATTTTTATTCCAGTATTTTATGCTTAGGAAAACTGATTAGTAGATAATGATTTTTAAAAAAATAAGGACAAGACCCATATATTTGTCCGTGATTTTTTACTTGTGAATATTTATGTCTAATTTGCAAAATATATTTCTGATGTTAGAGCTATCAGTTTTGTGGAAACTCTAATCAAGACAAAGGTAATGATGAATATAGACTACAGTACATAGGGCTGGGCATGGTGGCTCATGCCTATAATCCCAACACTTTGGGAGGCCAACATGGGAGAATTGCTTAAGCTAGGAGTTTGAGACCAGCCTGAGCAACATAGGGAGACCCTATCTCTATAAAAAATTTAAAAGTTACTCAAGTGTAGTGGCACACACCTGTAGTCCTAGCTACTCTGGAGGCCGCGGTGGGAGGATCACTTGAGCCCTGGAGGTTGAGGTTGCAGTTAGCCATGGTCACACCACCATACTCCAGCCTGGGTGACAGAGTGAGACCCTGTCTCAAAAACAAACAAACAACAACAACAACTATATGTATGTATGTATATTACATAGGTCAATGGCTACAAATTATGCTTCTTTAAAAAAATGATAGACTGATTTATGAACTTCAGAGTCAAGTTTAAAAGCAATACAATTTTAAAAAGATCTTTCAAAAATGAAAAAACATACTGTGTTCCCCATGCCACTCAAGATTTTTCTAAATCTTAACATTTGGTTTTCATAAGCACCTGTAGTTTGAACCTTATTAATGGAAAGTTGGTGTTGGAATGATAGTAGGCACTAAAGACAGGGATTTTATAGTGTTTTCTTTTCTTTCTTTTTTTTTCTTTTTGAGAAGGAGTCTTGCTCTGTTGCCCAGGCTGGAGTGCAGTGGTGCCATCTCAGCTCACTGCAAGCTCCGCCTCCTGGGTTCACGCCATTCTCCTGCCTCAGCCTCCCGAGTAGCTGGGACTACAGGTGTCCGCCACCTTGCCTGGCTAATTTTTTTTTGTGTGTGTGTTTTTAGTAAAGACAGGGTTTCATTGTGTTAGTCAGGATGGTCTCGATCTCCTGACCTCATGATCCGCCTGCCTTGGCCTCCCAAAGTGCTGGGATTACAGGCGTGAGCCACTGCGCCTGGCAGTGTTTTCTTATCTTGTAGTAAAATTAATATATGTTCATTGTTTTTAAAAAGTTGGGGCCAGGTGTGGTGGCTCATGCCTGTAATCCCAGCACTTTGGGAGGCTGGGGCAGGCGGATCACGAGGTCATGAGATCTAGACCATCCTGGCCGATGTGGTGAAACCCTGTCTTTACTAAAAATACAAAAATTAGCAGGGCGTGGTGACACGCACCTGTAGTCCCAGCTACTTGGGAGGCAGAGGCAGGAGAATTGCTTGGACCTGGGAGGTGGAGGTTGCAGTGAGCCGAGATCATGCCACTGTACTCCAGCCTGGCAACACAGCAAGACTCCATCTCAAAAAGAAAAGAAAAAAAAAATTGGACAATATGGAAACATGGAAGTTAAAATTTTAATTCTGATACACATCTTTCCAGGCTGTTTTTAATGTTTGTGCTAACATATTTATATAACATATTATAAATGATTTTTTGTAGACTGATTTTGACTTTGTAAGGTATATCTTAGATAGGATATTAGACATTTTGTTCCAAAATTTTCACTAATATAAACAATCCCTTGATCATATTTCTATTCCTGTTCTTTACATACTAATTCCATTGTTTTGTTTATGAAGTAGGATTGCCGGGTATGGGAAATGCACATTTTTTAAAAGTTTGATTCACACATTCTTCATATTCTTTTCCTTTTTTTTTTTTGAGACAAGATCTGGCTCTGTTGCCCAGGCTGGAGTACAGTGCCATGATCTCAGCTCACTGCAACCTCTGCCTCCTGGGCTCAAGCCATTCTCCTACCTTAGCCTCCCAAGTAGCTGGGACTACAGGCACATGCCACCACACCTGGTTAATTTTTGTGTTTTCTGTAGAGATGGGGTTTCACCATATTGCCCAGGCTGGTCTCGAACTCCTGAGCTCAAGCTGTCCATCCACCTCGACCTCCCAAAGTGCTGGGATTAAGGCATGAGCCACCGGGTCCAGTCACACATACTCATATTTCTAATAAAAAATATATGAGAGGACTTTTCCCCTATTTTTTGTTAATGCTATTATTTAGGAATTTGATTTCATGATGTGGAGTTACAGATGATTTAAAATGTGAGTAATTTATTATTATTTTATAGTATGCTAGAATGATTCTTTATGTAGCTAAAGGGAAGTGCATTGATTTTTATTTAATTTCAGAATGATGTTCTGCCCCTTTCAAACTCAGTGCCTGAAGATGTGGGAAAAGCTGACCAATTAAAAGATGAAGGTGAATATTTCATACAAAAATGACTTACTTAGTAAAGCTTTCTGAACCTGTGGAGGAAATTACTGTCAATTGATATAGTTCTGATTTACACCACCAAGACTAGATTGTCATGAGTGCACATGGCATTTACAAAACAGAAGTGAATGTGATGGGTGAGAAGCCTGCAAGTACAGAATGGCTTGTGGGCAATACAGTTATAGCTTGCTTCAAGAGAAACAGATCTGTTGTGAGTAAAAGTTGCAGAACAAATAACTTGAGGGCGAATTGCTTCTGACTGTTTTTGCTACTTTTACTGTAGGATCTCAAATTCTTCTTTATACTTAAAAAGAGGAAAATAGTTTTCAGCATTATTTTAACTTTGGTATCTTTAGTGTTTTTGAGTTCTTTGAAATTTGTTAAGGTAGGCACGTGGTACTTGTTTATTAGCTAGCACTTTTGATTACTACATGATTAAATTTTATACTAGTTGACTATTGAAGCATTCTTGGTTTTGATAAATAAGTCACTGTTGAGGCTTTGTGTTCAATTTTTCCATTATGTCAACTATGTTAAGCTATAGATGAGAGTCGTGTCAGGCCTGCAAGATTTGTATTACAAAGCTGTAGGGTACAGTCCTTATCTTTAGCAGTGAGTGAGAGCCAATAAATTCTCTGTTCTGTATATAGACAGGGAGTTATTAGGGAATATGCTATGTTCAGAAACATTTTCTAGCCTTTTCTTTATTTCATAGCTTGAAGAAGGCAGTTGAGTTAAAAAAAATATATATCGTGGCCGGACATGGTGGCTCACAGTAATCCCAGCACTTTGGGAGGCTGAGGCAGGTGGATCATGAGGTCAGGAGATCAAGACCATCTGGCCAACACGGTGAAACCCCGTCTCTACTAAAAATACAAAAATTAGCTGGGCGTGGTGGCGTGTGCCTGTAATCCCAGCTACTCGGGAGGATGAGGCGGGAGAATTGCTTGAACCCGGCAGGCGGAGGTTGTAGTGAGCTGAGATCATGCCACTGCACTCCAGCCTGGCAACAGAGAGACTCCATCTCAAAAAAAAAAAAGGTGTATATATATTTATATATATTTATACACACACACACACACACACACACACACACACACAATCACCTGGTATCTAAAAAGGTGGATATGAAACAATTATACTGTTCCTCTTCCTTGGGCATGGTCATTTCTCTAGGTCTGTAAATATATACCTGTATCACTGTGGTTTTTGTTTTTGTTTTTTTTTTTTTTTGAGATAGAGTCTCTCTCTGCCACCTAGGCTGGAGTGCAGTGGCAGGATCTCGGCTCACTGCAACCTCTGCCTCCTGGGTTCATGCAATTCTCCTGCCTCAGCCTCCCAAGTAGCTGGTATTACAGGCACGTGCCACCACCCTTGGTGAATTTTTTTGTATTTTTAGTAGAGATGGTGTTTCACTATGTTGGCCAGGCTGGTCTGGAACTCCTGACCTGATGTGATCCACCCGCCTTGGCCTCCCAAAGTGCTGGGATTACAGGCTTGAGTCACCATGCCTGGCCTATATCACTGTTTTTAATGGCTGTGTAGTGTTACATGACACTGAGCATGTCTTACTTACCTAGACAGATAATTTTGTAATCCTAAATAACACTGTCTTTGATATTTTTGTCAGTATTTCTTTTTGCTACTTAGTTTTTTTTTTTTTTTGAGATGGAGTTTTGCTCTGTTGCTCAGGCTGGAGTGCAGTGGCGCGATCTTGGCTCTCTGCAACCTCTGCCTCCCAGGTTCCAGTGATTCTCCTACCTCAGCCTCCCGAGTAGCTGGGACTACAGGCATGTGGCACCACGCCCAGCTAATTTTTGTATTTTTCGTAAATACAAAAATTTCACTATGTTGAAATTTGAGTTTCACTATGTTGGCCAGGCTGGTCTCAAACTCCTGACCTCAGGTGATCCACCCACCTCGGCCTTCCAAAGTGACGGGATTACAGATGTGAGCCACTGCACCCAACCCTGAATTTTTATATGTTAAGTATTTTATATGTTAAATATTTTATATGTTAAATGTGTTAGGCCTTTTATCATTAACTTATAGTATACATGTGCATAATATTTGTGGTATGTATATATACATTACGGTATCTACACCTTTGAGGTGACACAGGAAAAGACATACAATACAGCTTTAATAATGTAATCATAAAATGCCATCAAGACAAACAGCTCAACAGCAACGTCAAAGTCTCAATAACCCAGAAAATTAAAACATTTGACATGGAAATCAAACTGTCTTTGCTAATGCAAACTTTTTGTTTCTTCATAAAAAACGATGTTTTCCTCTCAGTTTCCTTAGAGGCTTTCTATTGATTTCTGTTTTGGGGAAGATCCAAATTAATTTTTTTAACTCTAAAAGATATTTGTTGCGATATAATTCATATATCATACAGTTTATTTCTTTAAAGGGTACAATGCGTTAGTTTCTAGTATATTCTTGGAGTTGTGTAGCCATTACCATAATCAATTATAGAAATTTTTTTTTTTTTCTTGAGACGGAGTCTCCCTCTTTCCACCAGGGTAGATGGAGTGCAGTGGTCTGACCACAGACCACTGCAGCCTCAACCTCCTGGGCTCAAGCAATCCTCCCACTTAAGCCTCCCGAGTAGCTGGGACTACAGGCACACACCACCACCCTGGCTAGTTTTTTTTTTTTTTGTGGAGATGGGGTTTCACCATGTTGCCCAGGCTAGTTTCTAATTCCTGGGCTCAAGCCATACGCCCGCCCTGCCCTTCCAAAGTGCTGCGATTACAAGGATGAGCCATCATACCCAGCCTACAGAACATTTTTATAACCCCCCAAACAAAAACCATGTGCTCATTAGTAGTCACTCTTTATATTCATTTTTGACTCCTAATTTACTGTAACTTGAATATTCTGTTTGTGTTCCTTGCAAATTTATGCCCCACTCTTCCTGTTAAGCAGCTAATGATCTATTAAGAACAAGGCTAATGTGAGAGTTTCTGGTTTAAGAAAACTGGAAAGAATCACAGATGCCTTTGAGATGTAAATCCTTCCTCCTAATCTCCATTGTTTCTAATATTTTCTTTTTCTTTCTTTCTTTCTTTTTTTTTTTTTTGAGACGGAGTTTCACTCTGTCGCCTAGGCTGGAATGCAGTGGCGCGATCTCGGCTCACTGCAAGCTCCGCCTCCCGGGTTCACGCCATTCTCCTGCCTCAGTCTCCCGAGTAGCTGGGACTACAGGCGCCCGCCACCACGCCCGGCTAGTTTTTTGTATTTTTTTTAGTAGAGACGGGGTTTCACCATGTTAGCCAGGATGGTCTCGATCTCCTGACCTCGTGATCTGCCCGTCTCAGCCTCCCAAAGTGCTGGGATTACAGGCTTGAGCCACCGCGCCCGGCCTCTTTTTCTTTTTTTTAAGACAGGGTTTCACTCTGTCACCTAGACTGGAATGCAGTGGCACAATCATGGCTCACTGCAGCTTCAGCCTCCTAAGTTCATGTGATATTCCTGCCTCAGCCTCCAAGTAGCTAGGACTACAGGCATGCACCACTGCGCCTGGCTAATTTTTTTAAATTATTCTTTTTGTTAAGATGGGGGTCCCACTATATTGCCCAGGCTGGTCTCGAATTCCTGGCATCAAGTGATCCTCCCACCTTCACTTCCCAAAGTGTTGGGATTACAGGCATGAGCCACCACGCCCAGACGTATTTTGAACATTGATTCTTTTAAGTGCAGTGGACACTACTTTTTCATTTAATGGTATACAAAAAATAGCAATGGGAAATCTCTTATTTTGCGGAACAGTTATTAACTTAGCTAAATTACTGCCAGATGTATCTGCAGATGCCCTTCCTGAAAATCAGTACTTTGCAGGCTAGCCATGGTATCTGAAATTCTCTTTCTAGAAATTAATCTCCTCAAATCCCCTTTTAAAAATAATCTAACTCTGGAGGGGATAGCACATAAAAATATTATCTGCCACTATCATGATAGCGTGATTAGTTTTATCAGCTTATCCTCAGCAGGGTTCTGAGAACTTGATTATCAGCAGATGTGTGTTTTAACAGGGAAAGAGTGGAAGACCAGGTCCAGATTGAGATGGTGATTAGGGAGGGTGTTGCATCTGGAACGGGCTGGGGCAGCTCTAAAAGGGAGGAGAGAGATGAAGATAAGGAAGGTGAGAAGAGATTCACTTTTGCCATGAGATAGTCATAATTGTTGCATTTACTCTTTTAAGTCTGGATTTTTAAGGTATATAAACATTAATTTTTTAAAAGACTTTGCATTGTTAAAATGATTCAAACACACTGAAAGCTAAATAATATCAACTCTGTAGTACAATATAAAACTTACCTCCAGTGTGAATGAAAAATCATGAGGCGGACTTTCATATAATTATAGTTTCCATGATTAAAATGTATCTATCAGAGTTTATGTTTTTAATGTATATTATACTTACTGTACATACTGGTTACTTTATTTTAGGCAATAACCACATGAAAGAAGAAAATTATGCTGCTGCAGTGGATTGTTACACACAGGCAATAGAATTGGATTCCAATAATGCGGTTTACTATTGCAACAGGTAAACTAGCACTATTGTGGCAGGTTTACAATTCTTAAACATTTACATTAATAGCTTTGAAGGACAATGCAAATCTTATTTATTTAGAAAATTTTGGAAGTTCAGCAAAATATAAAGAAGGAAGAAAAATTAAACTTATAAACTTACCATTCAGAGGCAACCACTGTTATTAATCTGTTAGCATATTTTGTCTTACATAAATTTATTCATTTTTATTTTTAATTTTTATTTTTTTTTGGGGACGTGGTCTCACTCAGTCACCCAGGCTGGAGTGCAATGGCATGATCTCGGCTCACTGCAACCTCTGCCTCCTGAGTTCAAGTGATTCTCCCACCTCAGTCTCTGCTGGGACACCAGGTGGACAGGTGCACACCACCTTTTTTTTTTTTTTTTTTTTTTTTTTGGTAGAGATGGGGTTTCACTGTTCATGTTGGCCAGGCTGGTCCTGAACTCCTGACTTCAAGTGATCCACCTGCCTTGGCCTCCGAAAGTGCTGGAATTACAGGCATGAGCCACCACACTCGGCCAGTTTATTCATTTTTAGATTCACCTTTGTTCACTGGGCTTATCAAAAATATGTCCTTATTTTATTGCAATCTTTCATAAGCATTATTTAAATGGTTACAAATTAGTCTCTATTACTACTGCTTATTATTTTTTATATTTCCAGCACCTATTGTTGTGGCTAGCAAAGAAGTACTCAGCAAGGGTTATTTCTGAATAAGGAGATAGACATACCTTAGTTTACTTACCTATTGATCTACTGGTGGACATTGAAGTTGCTTCCATTTTTTTTCAATATTAACATATAAAGCTGCAATGAACATCTGTTGTTTCTAAAATATTTTTCATGCTTTAGATTTTCTGGACTTTGGATTTATCCCTGGAAATGCACTTAGTAGGTCTAGAAGTGCAAATTATTTTTAAAATTGTTGATGCAAATTACAAAATTGTCCCACCTTCTTTGAAAATATTTTGAAAAGTCTCCCTAGGAATGTATCTGTTTTGGCTACGCCCTTGATCAGCACTAAGTATGCAAATGATTAATTATTGCTAATTTAATCTTGTTTTCATATTAATTGTTCTAATTTATATTTAAGTACTGGTGAGGTTGGATCTTTTTCAAATGTTGGCCATTTTTGTTTGTTTTTTCCTAAATTTTCTATTTATATCTTCTATAGACTGAATGTTTCTATCCCCTCAAAATTCATATGCTAATGTGAATTTTAAGCCCAATCTCCAATGTCATGGTATTTGGAGGTGGGACCTTTGGAAGGTGATTTAGGTCATGAAAGGAGGATTAATACCTTTATGAAAGAGACTCTGGAGAGCTCCCCTGTCCCTCTTGCCATGTGAGGACACAGCAGGAGGAGTACCCATACCAGTTCTTAGCTTGTTTGACCCCAGACTTCTTTCTTCCTCTTTCTTGGCTCTGTCCTTTTTAACATGGGTCTGACCCCTATAGGCTGCATTTCCCAGGCTCCTTTACCATCTGGCTTTTGTATGGCTTCAGCCATGGAGGTACTGGGCAGGAGACTGGAGGGCAGAAAGAAGAGAGAAGTCTAGGTATTTCTTTCTGCTTTTTTGTTTTATTTTATTTTTTAACATCATGGTGTATATTCAGCAGGGGCTACTTCTCATCCTTGTCTTCCTACTTCTACCCGACACACATACTGCGCTCCTGGTCTTTGCCAGGTGACCTTTGGTATTGGACTTTGTACTTCGTCCTTCAGTCTTAGGGATGGTAATGGCTTCCTGTTGCGAATTTGTGGATTGCTGTACAACTTTGGCCTCTCAGCTCTTCTACTACCTTATGTAATAAGTTCCCTGAATTAAATTACTCTGTTTTAAATATTGAAGTTCCAGTAGAACTTTCTACAGTGATTGAAATGTTCTGTATCTGTACTGTCCAGGTCAGTTGTCACTAGCCACAGTGGCTGTTGAGCACTTGAAATGTGGCTAGAGAGCAATTGAAGAACTAAATTTTTAAGTTTAAATCAATTTAAAATTAATTTAGGCCGGGCATGGTGGCCTATGCCTGTAGTTCCAGCACTTTGGGAGGCCGAGGCGGGCAGATCACAAGGTCAGGAGATCGAGACCATCCTGGCTAACACGGTGAAACCCCGTCTTTACTAAAAAAAAATACGAAAAAATTAGCCAGGTGTAGTGGCCGGCGCCTGTAGTCCCAGCTGCTTGGGAGGCTGAGGCAGGAGAATGGCGTGTACCCAGGAGGCGGAGCTTGCAGTAAGCCAAGATCACGTCACTGCACTCCAGCCTGGGTGACAGAGCAAGACTCCGTCTCAAAAAAAAAAACAAACAAACAAAAATTATATAGCCACCTATGGCTTACAGCTACTATATCAGACATCAGAGCCCTATATTAAAGATAGAGAACAAAAATCCGTGTGTCTTATTTGCTTTTTAATGTTTTTCATATGTAAAAGTTTTAACAATTTATATAGTCCAATTTTTCTTTTCCTTTGAATCTTATTCCAGTGCTTTTAGACTTAAAGCTCTCCCCATTTACAGACTTGACAAATAACTTCTATTTTCTTATTTTTCATTTCATTTAAATTTTATCATCTCAAGTCTGTTTTGGTTACTGGCATTACTATTTTAACCCATTTGAAACTTGTTATGACGGCCTTTTCACCTTTTATTTTATAGTAGGTTCTTAGGTTTGAAAGAGATCTTTAAGTTAACTCAGTCCAATGTTTCATAAACTCATTATTATCATATTTAGGGTAGTCACACCCTTCTGAGACAGCACTCTCTTCCCCTGCCTTTTGTGGTTATATTTGTTAGAAAGGTCTTCCTTATATTGACACTGAATTTGTTTTCCTGTAGCTCCTGTAGCTTCTGTCAGTTGGTTTTACTTAAGGTTAGTTCCAGAATAATTACGATTTTTTTTTTTGAGACGGAGTCTTGCTCTAAGGCCCAGGCTGGAGTGCAGTGGCAGGATCTTGGCCCATTGCAACCTCCGCCTCCCAGGTTCAAGTGATTCTCCAGTCTCAGCTTCCCGGGTAGCTGGGACTACAGACATGCGCCACCAGGCCCAGCTAATTTTTAATAGAGACAGGGTTTCACCATGTTGGGCAGGCTGGTGTTGAACTCCTGACCTCAAGTGATCTACCTGCCTCAGTCTCCCGAAGTGCTCGGATTACAAGTCTGAGCAACCACGCCTAGCCATAATTCTTCTTTTCCTTTTCTTTTTCTTTTTCTTTTTTTTTTTTTTTTGTGAGACGGAGTCTCACTCTGTCGCCCAGGTTGGAGTGCAATGGCGCAATCTTGGCTCACTGCAAGCTCCGCCTCCCAGGTTCACGCCATTCCCCTGCCTCAGCCTCCCGAGTAACTGGGACTACAGGCGCCCGCCACCACGCCCGGCTAGTTTTTTGTATTTTTGTAGTAGAGACGGGGTTTCACCATGTTAGCCAGGATGGTCTCAATCTCCTGACCTCGTGATCCGCCCGCCTTGGCCTCCCAAAGTGCTGAGATTTCAGGCGTGAGCCACCGCCCCCCATCGCCGATTCTTCTTTTTCATGATAGTACCTTACATTTTAAAATGTGCTACCGTGTTCACTTTTGTTTTCTCCACATTCAATGTTTGAAGTTTCTTCTGTTATATTTCAGGTAGTACAGCTTTTAAGTCCTGTACCTTCTCTTGAAACTTGTTCCAGTTTACCTGTGTGTGTTAGATATAGTTCCCAGAAGATAACACAGTATACCTGGCATTAGCCTAACTAGACCAACAGTCTTGTAAGGCTCTAATTTAACCCACTTTCTAGATAACATGGCTGTATATCAGCTTATTCTAGCATTATTTGTTAAGTTCATATTTTGCTTTTGGTATATTACGGCCGTCTTTTTTCATAGATTCTATCGTATAACTCAATCGTATATATATTTGACAGGTTTTTACCAAATAGCTGCTATGCACTAATACTGCCACTGGAGAAACAATTGCTTGCTTATACTTAAATGCAGGCTCTTACGTTTTGCCCCTATCAAATTCTATCTTGTTATAAGCTCCTATTCATTTGTCTTTTAAAGCTTTTTTGATAAGTAATCTGTAAAGTAATTAATGAATTTGCTCTTACTTCTGTTTTCATGTCATCCACAAACTTGAGAAGAGTACCATATCTTGAGAGTACCATATCAATAACAAGTTGACTGGGTGCAGTGGCTCATGCCTGTAATCCAAGCACTTTGGAAGGCTGAGGCGGACGGATCACTTGAGGTCTGGAGTTCCTGGCCATTGTGGTGAAATCCTGTCTCTACTAAAAAGTAAACAAAAACCAAACAAACAAGTCAACTAGTGGAACTATAATAGAGAAGTGGTTAAGAGCAGGGATTCTGAACCCAGACTCTTTTAAAAATATATATATATATTTCAGTAGCTTTGGGGGTATATGTGGTTTTTGGTTATATGGTTGAATTGTATAGTGGTGAAGTCTGAGATTTAATGAAACCATCACCTGAGTAGTGTACATTGTACCCAACATGTAGTTTTTTTATCTCATCTCCCTCCTATCCTTCCACTTCTGAGTCTTCAGAGTACATTATACCACTCTGTATGCCTTTGTGTACCAATAGCTTAGCTCCTACTTATAAGTGAGAACACATAGCATTTGGTTTTCCATTCCTGAGTTACTTCACTTACAGTTATGATCTCCAGCTCCATCCAAGTTGCTGCAAAAGATATCATCTTGTTCTTTTTCTGTGGCTGAGTAGTATTCCATAGTATATACATATATACCACATTTTCTTTATCCACTCATTGGCCAATGAGCCCTTAGTTGGTTCTACATCTTTGCAATTGTGAATTGTCCTGCAATAAACATATGCGCGCAGGTGTCTTTTGGATATAATGACTTTTTTTCCTTTGAGTGGGATTCCTGGATCGAATGGTAGATCTACTTTTAATTCTTTAAGAAATCTCCACACTGTTTTCCATATAGGTTGTACTAATTTACATTTCCACTAGCAGTGTATAAGTATTC